AATATTTATATATAATATTCATATATGTGTATATACAGGTTCTGTAATGTGACCTACTTTTGATATTTAGTAGAATTTACCACTAGAATGATAATGCCCAGATACCTTTATAGAAGAGAGGTTGTTTTTTATTTATTTATTTATTAGTTGTTTTTTGCTTTGTGGACAACTTTTTCAGTTTTTTAAAATAGCCTTGGTTCAATTAAAATTTTTTACTTGTAGGGTAAATTTTGAGGGTTTATTTTGGGAAGGAACTTGGAAATTCATTTACTTCACTAAGATTTTTAAAGAAAATAAATACAATTCAGTTCAATCAATCTTTATATCCATTGCTGAGTGTGCAGGAAGATTTAGGGAATTTTTTTAAAGAATTTTGTTGTTTACCAAAAATTTTCCAGTTTATGAACATTGGTTTTGGAATTTTTTTCCTCCAACAGGTCAAGGATAACAACAATGACCAGAAATCCATAGCTCTGGAGCTCCTCACACCAAGGAATTTTCAATACCAGTAAGGCACAGAGGACTATTTGCACAAGCACTGGGGAAAACCCAATGCTTTCTACCACGACAGATTTATTTGCAGAGACACAGGCATTTTTTCCAGGGTGGCTGCCAAGCTATCTCCTGAGCCTGTCTAGCTAGCACCTGGGTGACTCTGCTGGGGGCTTTGCAAATAATACCCACCCCATTGCCAGGATGAGGCAGCCTGAGTGATTCTGTTTCAGTGCATTATGGCACCTTAATGGTTCTAAGCCATTCTACTCCTATCCAGGGCTGACCCAAATGTGACTGCTAAGGGTGTGGTCAAACCACATGCTTGAAGCTAAAGGACAGGGGCCAAGGAAAAGGGCAAGATTAGATCAATAGCTTGGGATTTCAAGAACTCTTCTGTGTTTTTTAATAGTTCAGTGACCTGGATTTCAGTGTCTTAGATTTCAGTTTTCGATGACATGGCAAGATGACCAAAGCCTAGAAGACAACGAGAATCAGAGCAAATCATTTTCCAGCCTCAGTGTTATGTTGATGTTATAGTCTCTTTTGTTGACAGCTTAAACTCATGTATTATTATCCATTTTAATTTCCACGTTCATCCTTAATGGTCTTTTACCCAGCCCAATGAGCATGTTGAGTTGTATTATTCCTTCATAAAGAACTCCTTTTCTTTTTCTTAAAAAAATATCATTAAGTAGTTGTATGAAAGGATTCTGGTTCAGCAAACCAGTTTATAAGTACAATGCATTATGGTTAATGGAGGATTCCTTTAAAAGAAGATATCTTTAAAAGAAGGAAATTATTTGTTGGGCTACCACTTGCATTCACTTGCAGAAAACATTAGCATATCTGATGAGATCAGTTTTTTTAAGCAGAGAAATGTTTTTTTATCAATAAGCATTTTATGGTACCCCAATATGATGATGCTTTCACTAAGAACTTTCAATTACAAGGCCCAGTGACAATATCACATATCATACAGCCTAGGGAAAAAGAGCCTCTGAGTTAGATTATCTTTAAAATATCTTTAATGTAAATCATTTTTTATTTCTAGCTAGGGAAAAAAAACCCTGTCTCTAGTGTAGAATGGGGCCCTTCCTTCTACAACCATAGTCTACAACCATCTAAAGGAGACAAGACGGGGCTGGGAAGGTGGCTCAGTGGTAGAGCGCTTGCCTTGCATGCATAAGGCCCTGGGTTCGATTCCTCAGCACCACATAAGCAAAAAGAAAAAAAGCCAGAAGTGGCACTGTGGTTCAAGTGGTAGAGTGCTAGCCTTGAGCTGAAGAGCTGAGGGACAGTGCCCAGTCCCAGAGTTCAGGCCCCACGACCGGACCCCCCCCCCAAAAAAAGGAGACAAGACCTGGAGAGGAAGAAAAGAGAAGCTGTGTACAGAAAAACCTGGGGAGATCACACCAAGGGCAAGGTGCAGCCAAGAGTGATACCACTCAAAGACCCAGCTTTATGTGTGGTGAAGAAGGCTTCCAGTTCCTAATCAATTCCATTCAGATGACATGTGATATGCACATATTCCTCCAAACCCTGTATCATTTTAAGCATGCACTGCTGTCAACATACTCAAACCCTTGAGATCTAATGCTTTCCTACACAGCTTGTGGCTGTGAAGAGAGAGAAGGCTGGGACAACTTGAGCACCCAATGGATGGCAAGGTCAAGGAAAGAAGGGTCATCATGAATCCTTTAAAATGTTGCTCTTGCTTTGCTCTTTGACCTAAGTTCTTCACGAGAAGCGAGAATATTCTAAGAAAGTGTTTGTCCTTGCTTCTAGGAACCTTTCAGTGAAAGTTGACAGAATAAGAATGCCAACTTGAACAATCCTTTAGCCTTTAAGTCCTTGTAATTCTCCAGGGACACTCAAACATTGGATTGATTTGATGGGAGGCAGGTCTTCTGATGCCTACATCAATTCTTGTTGGATGTCTTTTTCTGTGGTTTCCAAAGTTACGCTCTTCACATTGTCAACCCAGGCCTAGCTATTTCTCTAGAAGGTTATATTGTTCAAAAAGGGAATTGCCACTGTTTATTTCTCTAGTATCATTCATATTTTTTCTTATCTATCAGCCTTCATACATACCTCCCTTGCATTTTCTGCCTTCATATAGAAACAAAAACATTCATGGACCCAGAATTTGGCAGATATGGCAATTATTTGATATGCTCCTAGGGCTTTTATTCAAGGCATCTGTTTCTTTCCTCAGCACATATTAGTAAACTTGTGATGAATATGTGTGGAATTTTAGCTGCTAGCTTTAAAGAAAACCTTGTAAATTATTTATGGTTAAGTGGGGATAGAATGAAAAAGAAATTCCTGACAGTTTTTATTAGCTCATGAAGCTCCCATGTTCCACTATAAAATGGGCACTGGTATCCTTCGAGACATGTTGGATAAGAGTTCAGATCAGGGCTGGGAATGATAGTACCTATGATTCTAGATCAATGCTGATAGATCATTTATAGTCACAAAAGTAAAGATCTGAAGCTGCATTTTAAATAAATCTCCTATCAGAAAATAATTCTACCTGTGGTAACTTCTTAATGATTGCTTTACTCTGTGGATCATCCTATCTTGCTTGAAGCAGATCTGTGTTATGTAACTGAATGAAGATGAAAGAGTAACCATCTTATTATAAATACCTTCTTTCCCAGGAAGAATGAGTGGAAAGAGAGGGTTCTTTTTGCTCTACTCAGAGAACACATAGTATAGTATAAAGGGGTATAGGCACGTTCCTCTGCATAGTTTAGAAAGACAAATTTACAATTGTGGTATTGATTTAACAACAACAACAAAAAGACTCAAAGAGGGAGGGGGATACCATTATTATTTGGATAGTGTATTGATTCCAGGTATCTTTATGTTAATTGCATCTGAATGTAATGTTCTCATCATTTTAGGTGAGCATTAAGGAAGAAATTCAAGAGACTAAGAAGACAGTCTCTCATGGTCCACTAGTGGTGGATGGGAGAATCAACCCCATAGGCCCATGACTTCTACTGGATCTTCTCATTCTTGATTCAAGGATTTTGTCCATTTGGGGTTGCTATAATGAAATACCTGAACCCAGGAACACTTACTTAGCTCACCGTTTTCAGGGTTGAAAGCTCAGGACTGGGCAGTCTCATCAGTTCAGCCCCCATGAGTCCTTCATTGTAGATGGCAGGAACATACATACCAATAAGACAGGACAGGAAGTCAGGGATTCAGAGGACAAGCATGCTCTATCAGTAACAACTTGCTCTTGGCAGAACCAAGTAGGGGTCCTGAGATAGCTACATTAATCCCTTCCTAGGAGAGCTCTCTGAATGACCTAGTTTATTTGCATTAGACTTTCTCAATGCTGTCCACTCAAGACTACCTTTCTTCAACATGAAACTTTGGGGAGAATATATGGAAACATATCTAAACCAAGCATGGAGAGATGAGTTTAAGAAACAAAGTGAGAGAACATGAAAACCAATATTCTCAATGCATAGAACATACTGCCAATAATATGTCTAGACCAACATTTTAAAAACCTTTTTTTAAAAAAAAAAATTCATTCTGAGTCCAACCAGAGCAGAAACAATTATAAACACTCCATCCCCATCCTGGAAGTAGTAGTACATTTGTCTTTATGTAACTATTGGAAACAACTTTCTTTGTCCTTTGAATCTTTTGATATTAGTAACTGTTGAATTAAGAGTACAATATTAGCCGGGCACCAGTGGCTCACACGTGTAATCCTAGCTATTCAGGAGGCTGAGATCTGAGGATCACGGTTCAAAGCCAGCCCAGGCAGGAAAGTCCATGAAACTCTTATCTCCAATAAACACTCAGAAAACCAGAAGTGGTGCTGGAGCTCAAGTGGTAGAGTACTTGCCTTGAGCTGAAGAACTGAGGGACAGCGCCCAGGCCCAGAGTTCAAGCCCCACGACTGAAAAAAAAAAAAAAGAGTAAAATATTTCATTGAGCTACAGCTTTTGGCTTTAAGTGTGAAGCTAAATAAAGTTGAAACTAAGAAGTTTCATAGCAACATCCAGGCAGTTGCTCCACACATGTGCAGTACAATTGTCATTTCTGGGTGTCACAGGGATGGACTTACATAATTGGCGCTGGACTTATATAATTAAGAATTGTGAGCTGGGCATACTGGCTCCCACCTGTAGATCTAGTTACTGAAGTGGTGAAAACAGAAAAAAAGCCTAAGTTTGAGGCCGGCCTGGGAAAAGTTAGCAAGCCCCACTCAATGAAACAAAATACTAAAAGGGCTAGAAGCATAGTTCAAGTAGCAGAGCACGTGGCAGCAAGCATAGTGCTGTATGTTTAGTATAGAAAGGAAGGAAAGAAGGAAGGAAGGAAACAGAGAGAGAGAGAGAGAACTGTAATGAAAGGAAAACTCTGAACTGAATATTGATATTATACTCACAATTAGCCAATTGTCTTACAATTTAGTCCAGGCCCAGAATTGAAACATCATGCATTTTTTGACCAAAAAAAGAGATCAGACAGCATGAGCTTGTAATGTATATTTTATTTTGCACAAGCTTGCATATATACTGCACATACATTCAGTTTAAGAGAAAATGGAAGGCACACAAGGCAATTGGACTACTGTATCCTTTAAGTGGTACAAAGCAAAAGGTAAAAGTTTGGAAAATATACAAAAGCTTAAAACACACAAAGTAAAACCCCCTTCCCACCCTCCCCACAACAACTTATGTTTTTTTTTTCCTGTTTTAAAATTTAGTAGCTGCCAAACTATTTTATTTTACTTTTACTTTAAAATCAATTGTCTACTGCACCTTTTTTATTTTCTTTTTAATATGGACAGAGAGTCTCATTGTTTTTTTTATCATATCAATTAATATTACAGTACATCCTTGGTAATACAAAATTGTACACCTTCATCAAATAAATTAGGATAAATTAAACCAATAAATTATGCAAAGTCTTCAGAACAATAGACAATAACAAAAAAAAATCCACAATTGAAATTGCCTCTAGCTAAAAAAAAAAAGAAAATCAAAAATTGACTTTATCAGTTATTGTACTATATTCAAATCAAAGGGTCTTTATTACAAAAAAAGAGCTTCATAATGCTATTTACAACATATTGCTAAATAATATAAAGGCAGTGTTTTGTCACGGTTTATACTATATACAGATGAGAAATGGCTGGGATAATATTGGGAGAAGCCATGATCTTTGATTCTTATAGGTGGCTCTGAGACCAACTCCAAATACTTGTTTTCCCCCTAGTTCTAAATTTGAAGTGGTGATACACAGTTTTCAAATGATCTGTCCACTTGAGTGGAAGAATAGAGTATTTAAAAACCACAGAGTGAAGGTTTTCTCACAAAGGAAGACCAGCCAGTTGGCCTTTCCTGCTCCTGTCAGTTTTGCGCATTTTAGGGGGTGTCCGAGTGGGAGAGGGCTCAGCTGAAAAGACTCAAAGTCCAGACGCTTCTTCATTCTGTCATAGATGCAGAAGAATCATTGTAAGAAGATGTCAAGATCCAATACCAGTTTTGATCCCAGCTCTGAATTCAAGCATTTTAGCTTGAGTTTTATAGATGGTTTACAACCAACAGATCTACAGAAAACAAGCTGCATTTCCTTCAACATAACATATATAAGTGCAAAATAGTAACTGTTTAACTCATGTGGACCAGTTACATTATTTTTTTAGGGGAGCTTTTTGAAAACAATGCTTCTTGTAATTTGCAAACACAGAGCTTGTACCAGAAGGAAACATTTGTACTATTCACACCAATGAATATAATATACATGGCAAAGAGAATTCCCACTGTCCTCATATACACTGTTGCTTTCAGAGAAGTCTGTAAACCACATTTTCTCTGATGAAATTTAGGATTACTTCTGTGAGACCTCCTAATTTGAAAGCTTCTAACTCTTTGAGCTTTGCAACTCAATCTTAACCTGTTTGTATGTAGAGGGAGTGTGTGTGGGGGAACTACTTACTAAACATCTTCATGTACACTGAAAAGAAATTTCATAAATTTACAGAAACTGCATTACCCTTGCCCTGGATATCTGATAAAAGAGACTGTTATCTTTTAAAAGGAGAGAGCAGGATTTTCAAGAATGCTTTCAACTGTCTGTACAGTCACTGTAGTGTTCCTAATAAAGTCAAACAGATGTGAGAATGTCATTATTTATTAAAATCTCATGTCTTACGTAACAACAGCCATAAGGATCAATATTTACATTGCTTTATAAAAGTTCCCCTCTCACTTTAGTGTTTCTGCTTTCTTTTTCTTTTTGTTATTGTTGTTGTTTTAATTCTTTAATGATATTCACCCACATCCCTAGTACAGTAACAACGATTCTGCAAACATAAAACACTTTAATTAAATAATACTCGGAGGCACAAAGCAAATATGTGGGTGAACATTGACTTAAATAACCACTACATTCTAACATCTTCCATGTATTTTTTTAACCATTTAATGTGAAACTCCTCATTAAACAGCCAGAGAGACAGTAAAAATTAAAATGTTTGGTGGCTGCAAATAGAACCTTCTTTTCACAAAACATAACAAATGCCTAAAATAGGTTCTTAAATCTAGAGAGGAAAAGGTAAGCTTTCCACTTCACACGCATATATATGTATATTTTTACATGTGTGTATATGTGTGTATGTGTTCTCATGTTCACACATCTGCACACACATACATAGCACATGGTATGAAATATTGCTTCTATACTACTTTTTATTAGGCTAAGAAAACACAAGATTTGCACCACAGTTACAAAAAATTGGCTTCTACAAGAATTTTCAAAACTCGAATGCTGCTCAAACAATTGAGAAAAAAATAATTTGCGGTATCAAACTGTTCTAAAAATTCTCTTCTTCAAAAACGTATTCTCCCGCTTTGTTTTTAAAAAGACACAAAATATGCATAGCTATCAACATTATGTCAAACAGCCAGAAAAAAGAAAAAGAAAATCTAGTGTTTATTGCAGCTGTAGAAATTGGAAAGAAAGTTAAAAGATGAAATCGAAAGCCACAGAAGGCACAAGAACAATTGTACTTGTGGGAAAAACTAGTATTTTGAAGGATTTTTTAAAATCCCCCCCGCTGGTGCATTTTAAGTCTAGGCACAGACTATTACCTCAAGTGGACATGCAAAAATAATTAGGGTTAGCAGAAAACAAGTGATAAAGTGGAATTTCAACAAGAGACTTTAGACTTTTTTTTTCCTATGTAAACAATTCCTCATCTTTTATAATCTCGCCATTTAAAGTTAACTTTTTCTCATGGATTCAGTTTTCACCTGGTGAGAGTTGAGCTAAGATTTGATGTGATTTTTTTCCTTAAAGAATAACTGTTAAATTGGAGTTTCTAGAGACAGGCTTTTGTCACTTTCCAATGCACTGGGAGGCACAAGATTCTATATTTGTAAAAGGAGGGGGGGCACCCACCAAAAAGCAAAGAGATAGAGTTCTATTTTCAGAACACAGAGAGTTCATTCTCATGTTGCGACTTCTACTTGGAAATATTTTCTATACCTCAGTGAATGGTGATTTTCAGTAGATAGGGGATTTTCAGTAGATAGGTGCATCGGCATTTGGTTATGAGCATTCATAACTCACCTAATTTGTCTACTTAAATTAGAAAGTCAAGGGAAAGTAACACTAAAAATCCACATATATCCCAATTGATATTTCACTTGCTCCAGATTAAGATCATACCTAGCCACCCATCTACCCAGATGAATATGCTACAGCTTTGGCCTTGTACTAAGACCAGGGCAATATTTTGTTGTGAATTCCAGGAACAGCAAACACTCAGTTGTAAACCAACATGACAATGAATGTCATACTTTTCCCCATGAATCAAGTTGAAAGAGTGTGACTAGTGGTCTAGATCACTTCACTATTGTGTGCTGATCGGATTCCTATCTCTTGTTTTTAAAGTATTCTATTCCAATGTATTGATTGTTTGGACTTTAAAAAAAAAAGAAATCCAGAACAACAACAAATTATCTCTTGGTTCTGCATGCATGTATTAGAGGTTGTGAGTTGGGAGATGAGTATGGCCCTAGTTGTGAAGAAAGGGTTGGGACATTAGCCTTGTCCATCCTCCATCTGTGAGGGCCTCTTGAATGAGGCAGAGCATCACAGGACTGCACTGTTATTTAAAGTCAGCAAGTTTAAGGCTTTGTACCAACCATCATTGGGTCCCCAAATTCCTGCCCATCAGCAGAATAACAGAAGTTAAACTATAATGCTCGGCTCAGCTAGTCAGTCACATGGGTCTATTTGCATTCTCCAAAGGCAAGTGTGATGTTTAGAAAAATTCTGTTCTGTGAGTTTTAAATACTAGAGTTGTTACTGTGTCATTTTAGGAGGTGTGTATTAAATTACTTAAGGGGAAGGAAGGGCTTGGAAAACACAGAGTGAACAATGAATTCTTGCTGCATCTGTACACAAAAATCCATCTCAGAAAACAAGTGTGAGTGCAATTCAGATTTTTTGAATGCAAGTGTAGGACATTGTACGTCACTGGAAAACTGATACAAAATAAAAGAAAGGATAAAAGAGGAGAACCATTAAAGAAAGCATAAAATAGCAGCTAGCTTTCTTAGGTGTACTGAAATTGTGTCTTCTGAGATAACCCCAAACTTTCCTATGCTATACACTCTTGTGCATTTTGGTCAATACTAGCTTCTGACTTAGAAGAGATATTAGCAGTTGCTTGACAATGTTCTATCTAAAATGAAGAAACATTTAGACGGTCCCCACTGTGGTCACCCATCAACATAGTGTGGAATTGTATATGCAAATAGGTCATTCTCACACATGCTCCTCTTCATCCCCTAATGAAGATCAAATCCCATACCAGCTGTCAACAAACTTCCAGTGTAGCCAAGGATTTGATGGTCAATTGGGATTGCTTTTATTCCTTACTGTAGAAAGGTATTCAGAAATTAGTGTTTTAGGAAAAGAGTGTTAATTAAACAGACATGATAATCCTTTTAAGCATATAAACAAACTGGAGCCAAGAGTCACCTTGCAACTTATGTGCCTTTCAATATCTGAAGCAAAATAAATAGAAATGATTACAAGTTATAGAGTTTTCTCTATGACAACGGATCTAAGCTCATTTATTATAAAGAACCTGCTATAAAGTACACATGGGGAGCTAGAGGACCATGTATAAGTTTCTGGTCTCATCTTCAGTTTTGTAAAACAATTGCTTTGCCTTTGTTAGGAACCAGTTAGATCAGGAGAACCTACTGTTAGGTTCTCTTAGGAAAAGCTTGATAGTGGTGATTTTTCTTTTAAAATTTGGTCTTTTAGGGTATTTTTAAAAAAGTGAGCTGCTCATCTGCCCTCAGCAATAGTTTTAAACATATTAAGAAATATTACTTAATGAATCCAAACCAAACAAAGTTTTTAAGTGTATGAAGTGGTTCCATTGAATTTTCAGACTTTCAGACCTGCTTAACAGTAAAAGCAAGAGACACATCACCATCTGTAGAGTTGGGCTCTGTCACGGATTTGCCTCCACCTCTCATTATTACAATATGCCATTAATCAAGCAGATGCATCTTGAACAAATGCCCTTCCTTGCAAAGAGAAACTTTACACATGCCAACATTCTTCTCTTTTTTTTTCCCTGAAAATCAATCCTAGGTTAAGTCTTCAAATGTTAAGGGCCTTGGGCAAAAGTAAACTAAAGGTAGAAAGAAGAGAACCATCCCTTTGTAATGGAAAACCAAAGGAAATGAGAGAAAGTTGATGAGGAGGAATTACCAGCTGATTTCATAACATATCCATGCCTCCCACACACATATATCTGAAATCAAAATCTCAACACATACAAGTTGGACATCCAAAGAGGACTGCTACTATTCATACATTCAGAAAGAGTTGTTGAAATTTCTACTCATGAAGCAGCTCTTGTAGGCAGTTCGGGGATTTGAAAATCTCAGGGACTTCACTATCCAGCTTGCAGATGACCTTGTAGATGGCCTTCTTCCAGGAAGGATCAACATCTTTGCCTGCGATAATGGCATTGAAAAACTCCCGTAATGTGATCTGCGCAACTTCCAGGAATCTCTCTGGAACCTGCTGATACAAGGAGACAATGGCATTAATAAAGTTTTCAGTTTCAAGTCTGTAGTTCTTCAAAGGAAACTGAGCTAAGTTCATTCTTTGAGAAAAGGGCTTACATGACACCTGCATTTTCTAAAAATGGCCAGCCTCTATTCTCTTATGTAAAGTTGTTATATATAGCACCATTGTTGTGGGGGTTGACAGCTTCATAAAGTTGAAAAAGAGGCTTGTACAAAGAAGACATGACAACTTATTGAACAACAAGGAGTTCGTCGTGAACATTAGGATGGAGAAAGGGGACCCAATATTTGGGATTCCCCACAGATCCATTTTCAGATTTTAATTCGTATTGCCTGACAATTGCCATTGTGAAAAGAAAATGTGCTCTCAAATAGAACAATAAATAATTGAGCATCTATATAAATGAAACCCACACAGTCAATGAAGAAAATCTAAAAATCTGTTTCCTGTTTTTATTAGAAAACTGCTCACTTGAAAACTCAGTTGTATATTAATCTGTACTATAAGACACTCAACATACAAAAAATGAGTAAGATAATGGCATCAATCCAAAATCAGGAAATATCAAAGTTAATGCTAAGCTACTACACCAGAAGCTATTTTACTCAGAGAGGAGAATTGTTCCACTGAAGAATGATTTATAATCACCCAAACAGATAATTACTACAAATAACATTTATGGAGTGCTCAGTATGTGTGAGGCACAATGCCACATGATGAATTTGAATGTTATTCCACTATCCCAACCTCTATACAAGGGTGATTTATCCCAATTATACTATATGAAAATCAAAGCGGGCGGGGGGCGGGGGGGAAGGGGGAAGAGAGGGGCAGGTGGCTCACACCTTTAATCCTAGCTACTCAGAAGGCTGAGATCTAAGGATCAAGGTTGGAAGCCAACCTGGGAAGACAAATCTGAGAGACTCTTATCTCCAATCAACCAGCAAAGAGCTGGAAATGGAGATGTGGCTCAAGTGGTAGAGCACTAGCCTTGAGTGAAAAAGAGCATGAGGCCTTGAGCTCAAGCTCCAGTACTGGCAAAAAAAAAATAAACAAACAAATAAACAAAACTCCTGTTTTTCCATCCCTATTTGTTAAACTTTCTCTTCCATAGCAATTGAGTGTGTGTGTGTGTGTGTGTGTGTGTGTGTGTTCTCTGAGTTTCTGGTTTACTATTCTGGCATCTTGGCTAGGAGAAGGGGTAACTATTGATATTCTTAGTATTCTTTGTAAGTTACTCATATGGGGCATTGTATAGTCTACATCTCTTCATGCCAATATAATGGACTCAGCATCATTTCAAGTACACATTGACACTCACTACATTTCTTTTGGTGGGGTACTTCTACATTAGAAACATTTTACTTTCACATGAGGTGCAGATGTAGGAAGAGACAAGAGTACTATAGTTGTACTTGTAGCTACATCTGTCTACATATATGTAACAGATGAAAGATTTTCATCTCCATTCAGACATGTCACTTGCCAAAATCAAGGGGAAGTATGGCCATGTTACCCATGCTCAGTCTCTTTCTCCCTACGTTGGCTCTACTGGTGCAGTAGAAAGCAACTGGTAAAGAAAAACTAAAACAAACGAAGTTTGTTGCTCTCAGTAGCAATGTGCTTTTTAGGAAAATCTAGTAACTCCCCAGAAACAAACAAAAGTCTCCTTTTGGAGTCTAGAAAAAGGGAGAATTTTGAACAATCGCTCAGATCACATTGACATTTGTCCATCTGTCCAGTCATTTTCCAATGTTTCCTGGGAAATCACCAGAGCCTTGGCTCCCATAGAGGTGAGAACTATCAGTTCCAGCTGTGATCTCATCTGGAGAGTTCAACATCACCCTTGGTGACTTTCCCTTAAAGTCTCTATAGACACATGGGGACTTGCTGGGGGAGTGCTTAGCCCTCCCACGCACTTTATCCAAATGAAAAGGTATTCAGGTATTTTGGAGTATTCTTTCCTGCTCCTCCCAAAGATAATCCTCCACATTTTATCAAATGAGCATTGCTGAGAGAGGGAATCTGGCTGAAGCACAGTTAGGCAGAATAACTACCCACTCTTAACTACTTGTTTTGGGAGCTGTTAGCCAAATGCTACAGAAACGTAACTGTCGACATTTATTGAAACAAACATTTCAAGAAGTGTGGTTGTCATTGACCTTTGGCAACAGGCCTCCACGAAACTTTGCAGCATGGCAGAGAGCTTTGAAGGAAGAATGATGTGGGCAGAGGCTTCAAAGAAAGCCGGAAGTCAGGAAGCCTTGCCCACCCCAAGCCCCACCCACAGCAAGTCATGTGACCTAGGAATCAGGGAAGGAGGACCTTGTGGAGAGTGTCAAAGTAGGGAGAATCATCTAGAAGAGCACAAGTCTCAGAGGAAGGAGGGTGGTTGTGGGATTTGCATGAGAACATAGAGATTCTTTTGGAGGTGGTGTGTACTTGGCCACATAAATTTATAATTCACCATTCTTGTTGTTTGAGTGGTTTGCCTCCTGTTTTAAACATTCATTTCGTATGGTCTTCATTGTGGGCTGCCTTAGGATATCTTTGTATCTGTGTCTTGATGTTTAACTTTTTACCTATTCACAGGTAGCTGTAATTACCTTTCCATAACGTGTTGTTAGATAAGGGGTCACAGTTTTTATTCCGTGTTCACCCATTGTGCTCAAGAGTCTTTTGGGGAAGGGCTGGGAAGGTGGCTCAGTGGTAGAGCGCTTGCCTTGCATGCCTGAGGCCCTGGGTTTGATTCCTCAGCACAATATAAGCAAAAAGAAAAAAAAAAAGTCTTTTGGGGAAAACCATATGATAAACAGAATAGTTGATGATGGGACTTCACCTTTTGCTCTTAGTCAGATTGCTCTGGTGTCACACTTATATTCTCCCTCAATACTTAAAAAAAAGAAGCTTAAAATGATAAAATAAGAGAATTGAAAGTCAGCAGAGATCTCAGAAAGCATCATTTTAAGGATGTAAAAATGATGAGATTCTCTGAGATGAAGAAATTATTCAAAAGACTTATATAAATACACGTACCTCCATTAAACTGTGCTGGCTCCCTTCTTAATGTCTTATTTTTTTGGGGGGGAGGGTCAGTCATGGGGCTTGAACTGGGGGCCTGGCTGCTGTCCCTGAGCTCAAGGCTAGCACTCTACTACTTTGAGCCACAGTGCCCCTTAAAGTTTTCTGGGGTTAATTGGAGATAAGAATCTCATGGACTTTCCTGCTTGGGGTAGTTTTGAACAATGATCCTCAGATTTCAGCCTCCTGAGTGGCTAGGATTAAGATTGTAGGTATGAGCCGCCAGCACCTGGTTTAATGCCTTTTTTTGCCACTTGGGCTTTTCCAACGTATCATATCTTGGGGAATTTGTGAATCTGTAACAGAGAAAAAAAACGACTTCCAAGGAGCTAGTAGCTTCAAGAAAAATGGAAATGGTGTAACCAATTCCCAGCAAGAAGCTTTGGTTGCCTGTTTAGGATTGAAAATGGATGAATTCTTTATGCAAATGAAATTCTCTGCCAATTTAGTACTTGCTCTAAAGCAAAACTCAAACAAAATGGACTAGGCTAGGTAAAAGAACTTTATAATGAGATCCTCTAATACTGGAGCATCTCAGCTTCTTTTTTTGGTGGCTCCAAAGGTACCGTGCCAGGTAGCAACTAATCTTCCAAGAGGATGCCAGTGACTTTCCTCCACAGGTTGAAACCTCACCCATGAAAACAGGCACCCTCTGCTCTCTACATGAAAACTTTCCCACCTTCATTTACTAGAGCATGGGAGAGGCCCTCCTCGCATTTCAGGGGGGTCATCTTAGAACTCAGGGTTATGGTCATGATCTTACCCATATTTTTCTGCACCTCCTCATATCTAATAGCTTTCCAATCATTAATAAACATCTGCAGAAAATCCCTTAGTGACAAATAATCCCTTATCTAGGTTTCTTTTAATAGAACCCAACAATCTGCAGAATGAACCCTACAGTCTATCTCCTCAGCATCAGGTGGCAACAGTCAATCAAGCCACTGGAATGCAAGACAATGAAGGCTGCTGGGGGTGGGGGCAGGAGGGGGAAGGCTGTGCCTTTGGACATGCCACAGGGGGGAAAAAAAAACAAAAGGCTTCCAAAGCCTCTGGCTCAAACTCTCAGGCTATTGTGGGAGCTGCTTTGCCCAGGCGTTCTTCAGGAGGGGAGAGTGGAAACTTTGCTTTGATAAAAAGCCATCCCAATATAGGAACCTCACCCCCAAATAGTCTTGCCTTGACATTTGGAGAATAGGCTTGTGACGAGGTACTTGAGTACATGCAAAAGGGGCCGGCCAACAGCATCTACCAGTTTCACCACAATTGTTTGTACTCAAGATTCCTCAGGCCTTGAAGTCTTCAGGGAAATGAGAGAAAGACATTTCAAGTTTGCTAAGTCCACAGCTGGGTTGCAGGCACACACACTGTGCTGGCTTGAGTGGCTATTCTGCTATATTAATTATTATTATTATTATTATCTTAAATCAGAATGAGTGGCAAAGACTTTTTTTCTCCCTGTCTTTCTCTTCCTCTTCCCAGTTGCTTTACCTTCAAGGATGATTTGTTTTATTAAACTGACTGTCCCTAGCCTCTGCAGTACATAATAAAAGCCTGACATAGCAGGCTGCCTGCCTTCTGTGTCCTGCAGATACTCATCATAAGTGTCAGGACATACCAAGGTTAGCGGTCACTGGAAGTGTGCTTGCTGGCCCAAACCTTGCCAAACGCTCTTGGCAGCTGAATGAATGTCACAGAGAATAGAAGGGGAATTACAAAGGTTAAAAAGAAGACAGGCTCTCCTATTTTCTGGAGACAGAGCAGCTGATTTTTCACACCTCTGATACATCCATAAGCTCATTCATCAGCCTCTTGCGGGGGACCGTAACCTTGCCCTTTGCACAGGTCTCCATGGACACCCCTCCATCCTTGATCCCCTTTAAGATCTGGCTGACTGGCCTTGATTCATC